AGGTCTTGGTTCAAATTCTTTCACCAAAGAATTCTCTTCTTCCATCGGCATGACATTCGGCTAGGAAATTTTTAAACCCCTTTGGGATTAGATCTTGGTTCAAATTCTTTCACCAAAGAATTCTCTTCTTCCATTGGCATGACATCGGCGTAGGATTTGTAGCCTTTGGGATTGGGTCTTGGTTCAAATTCTTTCACCGACGTCTTATCTTCCATTGGCATGGCATCGGCATAGGATCTGTAGGCTTTGGGATTAGGTCTTGGTTCAAATTTTTTTCACCAAAGACTTGTCTTCTATTGGCATGGCATCAGCATAGGCTTCGTAGACTTTGGGATTAGGTCTTGGTTCAAACTCTTTCACCGACAACTCATCTTCCATTGGTTGAGTATCGCCATAGGATCTGTAGCTTTTGGGATTAGATCTTGCTTGAAATTCTTTCGTAGAAAGTTGATCTTTTGTATTCTCAAAATTCCCAACAAGCTTATCATTTTTTGCCGTCTCCATTGATGTTTGACAATCGTTTTTTTTATCAGATAGATGAGGTGCCTCCGTACCCTTACGGATAAGATTCTGAATTACTTCAGGCGTGGGTTGATCTTTCATGACACCTTTCCAGTATTCTCGAGGGTCGGGTCTTGCATCTATAATGCTTACAAACTGCTCAAGAACCAAAAAGAAAAAAAAAAAAAAAAAAAACAGAGAGTGGGAGAGAGAGAGTGTCAGAAGTACATAGAGTGCAAGTATGAAGAGGGTAGACCCATCATACTAATATTACATAAATTAGCTAAGTTTATTGTCCCAAATTGTGAGTTGGCTTGAAGTAAACAACAGGATTTTGAGTTTGACTCATACTTACCAGGACAAGTGAAAGGAGAGCCCAGAAAGCATAAGCTGATCCCATGGCTTCAACACTATAAACTGATAAATTTTTTGATCTGTTTGATTGCATGAAAGCTCTAAAACTCAATGCCATTTATAGATCAAGTGTCACATATCTGACTATCAGATGAAACCTCAAGATTCAAGTTGGAACCTAAATATAGCAATATAATAGCCACTTGGTGATAGAGATCCTTGCTTTTGAAATCAAGTAAGTGACATTGAATTGCACGATTGTACAACGTTTGATATAATATAAGGAGCAAGACTTCAACTATTATAAGTAGGAATGACTTCACATGATTGAAGAAGAATCGTCACTAGATTAGATCCTTGATTTGGACATTGAAGATGACTTGTCACCATAGACATTTGGAGGTCGAAGATGAATTGTCATCAGAGTTGACATATTAGTTTCGAGGTTGAAGATGAATTGTCGAAAGAGTTGACAAATTCATTTGGAGGTTGAAGATGAATTGCCACAAGATTTAAAAATTCATTTGAATGTTGAAGATGAATTTTCACCAGATTCCATGTTCACCAGGTTGAAGATGAATTACTGACCTTGACATTTGGTCAAATTCTTGATAATACTTCGAGGTGCTATCGAATACGTTGACCTCACTTTCGAATCATATCTAATCGGATATAACCAGATTCCCTATTCTACTACAGGGATATCGAAATAACTGCGGTTCAACGACCCTACTTTTCATAATAGATAGTTGCAATAGAAATAAAATGGACGAAAAAGAACCAGTTCTCCGAACTACCTAGCTCCTAGAAGGAAGTCATCGAAAATGTTGATGACTTAACGGTCATCAAAGCTACACTCTCCAACCCTTTTGGTTTGCATGATAAACAACGAGATTGTCCACCTACCAAACACTTTGGAGCTGGGCATTTCCTTGGCAATTAAAGGAAGCTAAATATTATTGAAGTTAATGGCATATAATTAATATACTTCATATCCAAGAAAACAAGATAAATATTATTGAAGTATTGCTTCTTATACTATATATAAAATGTTGGAAAACCGTGCAAGTTTAATCTTACTTGCTCGATTCCGAAAGCAGTGAGCTCCATCACCAGGTGACCGTTTATATTGCTAATTGAAAATTGCCAACTTGAATCTTGAGGTTTCATCTTGGGATAAGATATCTGGCATTTAATCATCTATAAATAACATAAAGTCTTAGAGCTTACATACAATTAAATAGATCAAAAAAATTATCAGCACACAGTTTTGAAGAGATGGAATCAGCTGCTTCTTTCGTCCTTCTCCTCTCAATAGTCCTGGTAAGCATAAGCATAAGATTGTATGTAAGAGGGTTCACTTTGGGAAGCATATAGATTTCAGCATCACGAGACCCCATTTAAAGGTTGTTTTTATTGTATTTAGGAGGATTTACACTCTGAATATGTGAGTTTCGTGTTACAAAGTTGATTGTAAATCTAAGAAAGCATATGTGGGAAACTGATTAAGTATATATTCGAATTTTCTTCTTTTTTTTTTTTTGGCAGTGTGCCCATGGAAGTGGAGCCAGGGATATGACAGAAAAACATTGGACAGAGTCAACAAATACAAATCAAGTAAAGAAACAGGTAAAGATGCATGACTACAGAGGGATATGATAATGATCACTATAATGAGTTGAATCCTCTGAACTAATGCTCAGGTTGATGATAATCACCCTAGCATTTTGCGGCTTCATAGCATGGATGTTCATATCAAGCATGACAATAACGTACATGATAAGCAAGATAACGATGCTCACCGAGGCATACATACAGAGCATGTCCATGCCTATCCATCATCAAACATGGATCATATGGACCCTTCGTTGTTCGTGTTCTTTCGTATGGAGGATCTAAAAGCGGGAAAAAAATGGTGATCTATTTTCCACACTGGGACCTTTCTAAATCTCCTAAGTTTTTGCCCAGAGAAAAAGCTGATGACATTCCTTTCTCATCAAGAGAGCTCACAAACATTCTTCAACTCTTCTCCTTCTCTCGAGGCTCTCCCCAAGCCGAAGTCATGGAAGATTCGCTTCGACAATGCGAGTTTAAGCCTATTGAAGGAGAGATCAAGATTTGTGCCACTTCCTTAGAATCAATGCTTGATTTTGTGAGTAGTATTTTAGGATTGAAGAGCCAAATCAAAGTTCTAGCCACTACTCACCTCACTTCTAAGTCCAATACTCTTGTACAGAACTATACTGTCTTGGCAGCACCCAAAGAAATATCAGCTACCAATTTGGTGGCTTGTCACAGACTGAGTTACCCTTATGCAGTTTTCCACTGTCATAGTACAGAAAGTAAGATTAGGGTATTCAAGGTTTTACTGGCAGGTGAGGATGGAGCTAAGGTGTATGCCGTTGCTGTTTGCCACACGGACACCACTCAATGGAGCCGGAATCATGTGTCCTTTCGTATGCTCGGCACTGAGCCGGGGCTTCCTGTTTGCCACTTCTTCCAAGCAGATCATTTTGTATGGATTTCATCGCCTACTTCTTGATCTCTTGTTTGACTGCTATGCAGTCTAGTTGTACTTTCTACTAGTGTCTGTGTATTAACGTCCACTGTGTGTGTCTTTCCTTCCCTATATTATTACTGCCACCCCTTCTCTATTTCCTTCAAGTTGGTTGAAATCAACTACCTCTTGCTCAGTTGTATGAGTTCTGAGCCTACGACATTTGAGAAAATGGATGAAAGATGTATGATTTTGAGCATTTAAAACAACAACTTACCCAAAAAAAAAAACAACAGCTTGTGATCTGCCTTTAAAATTGACAACTTGCAAGCAAAAACAATTGATTTTTGAGTTGAGTAGGTGATGCAATTTGCTTTATATAAAGAGTGAACTGAATTTTGCACATTACTCCATTGGAATCTTGGAGCTACAGATGTTTTGATGAGTAACTCGATGCACTAACAATGACTTTAGTAACTCAATTCTGAAAAGAGAAAACTCTACCTTAAAAGGACAGCTTTCACTAATCAGTCATCCCTTACTCCATTCCTTCCTAATGTAAGGAATGGTGGGATGGTTAAGAGCAGCTATTGCTACTCATACTCCCGCTTCCTGTGAGAAAAAAAAAAACCTCCTTATCACTCATCAGACTATGCTCTATATAAACTTAAGCCTTATCTGCAACAAGTTCAAAATTTGAAAGCACTCGTTCATTCACCTATAAGCTCCAGGACAGCCAAAAAGGTCGAAGCTTTCAGCAAATTCATGCACTGTCAACTAATTGTGCCTGCAAACTATACTCGTGAGCTCTTGGGTGACCTATTCTGTTCCCTCCCCATCACTGCTTTCCGGCATTCAAATGTCCACAACTCACCAACAAGAAGATGAAAAACTAAAATGTACATATAACAGATCATTCACCTTCCTTAATCTAATTTGTTCAAATATGGTGTGGGGTTTTCAAAAATTCTATACAAATAGGAATCTCCAAAAACCCCCAAAAAAAAATGAATAAAAAAAAATCTCCAGAACATGTATTCTATACTATTTTTGTGAAATGCTATGATGTCCATAGGTATTGCAAAACCATCCTTTACATTGATCACGGATTAAACTCAAGTTGTCCCCTAATAGTCATGGGTTTCACCACTTTGATTCCATAATAATAGAAGTCATAATCAAATCGTGTTCCCTGAAGTGTAGTAAATGAGTACGAACACATGGAAATTTTCATTACACCCCAGAGCCACGTGCCCAAATGAGACTGGTGATTACACAATCAGATGAATTCTTTTCTTTCTCATTCTCATAACAGTTTAGCGAAAATAGCACCACAGCATAGAGTACAAGTTCTTCAGGACCCATGCCAGTTGCTATAACAAGTAACCTGGTTCCTGATGGATCAGAAACCCCCGGACCTGTTTGGTTTGAATTTTGAAAATTGTTTTTTGTTCTCAAAACTCTGAAAACAATAAAAAGCTGTTTGATTTGATTTTTTCTTCTCTAAATTTCGGATAAAAAAGGGAAGTGGAGCATAAAAATTAAAAACAAGTCATCTTGTTTCTGGGTGTTTTGGAGACAAAATAAGGGAAAAAAGGAAACACCGAGAACACTTTTGCTCATTAACGAGGTTTTCCGTTCAAATCTCCTTAACAACAAAATAGATCCTTTCCTAAAAGGTTTTTTTTTTAACCTTTCTCCCTTTTTTTTTTAATCGTCTTCTACGGCGAAAGGATCTTCTCCGGCAACTAGACATCGTCTTCTCCGATGAGAGCTCTCCGACGACTGGGTTGCTTCAGATCAAATCTTAGACGACTAGGTTGCTTCAGATCAGATCTGGATTAATTTTTTTATAGATATGATATATCTGAATTAGTTCCAAGCATTTTACCACTTTTTTTTTTCTTCGTTAATGATTTGGGTGTATTGGATTTTCTGTGTGTGAATTTTTTATTTGCGTATGTTGGAGCCACTTAATGTTGTATGACAAGGCAAAAATTTTCTTTTTTTTACTTTTTTTTTTGTATTTTATCAAGTTTAATATATTAGAATTTTTTGTTCTTTAGTCTCCACGTCGTTTACTCTATTTGTCTCATCTTCTCCGGCAACTGTGGGGGTATTTGTTGAGTGAGTGTGTGGGTGTATTTGCTATGTGAGTTGTGTGAGCGGAGATTCTGAGGAGATAATGGAGAGAGATAGAGAGATGGGAATGGAGATGAAAATTGGGGGATTTTGTGTATTATTGTCTAAACAGGTTTTATCAATTTTTTGTTTTTTAAAACTATCAAAACACATGTTTTTAATACATTTTTAAAAACTATTTTTGAATACTATTTTTAAGACACAAATCAAACAGGCCTTAAAATTTCTCCGCATTAATTCAATATTTTTGTAAATCTGATTGGATGGGAAAGCAAAGTTACACAAGCACACGGAAAACCACACTCTGCCAACCATCAATCTTTGAAGCACATGCATTCTCAAAGGAGAACCCACAAACACTTTTTTTTCGGGTGCGTGCATGCGTGTGTGCGCCCATTCCCTAATAGAAAGTAGATTTAAGAGATGAATGCACCACCTCGTTAAGATGTACAAAGCACAAGAATACTTCCATCATGTATTTTGGCAGCAATATGTTCCAGTATATATTTGAGTTTATGCCTGAATCTGACATGAACATGTTTTATAGGCTTTGTTTGCTTCCAGTGCTTGTCTAGGTATCTAATACTGGTTGCAGATATTAGTTCTTTTGTGCTGTTTGGATCTGGTTTTGACTTTGCTAGGCTGGGAAACCCTCCAACTTGGCCATTCTGTTTTGCTTTTCTTTTCTTCTCTTTACCTACTGAATACCCCTTGTTAGTTGTACTCACTCTTTTTAGAGTAAAATGCTGTCCACACAATAATCAAGACAAGGAGACTTAAAAGATTTCAAGCCCCAACAGAGTGCAAACTCACCTTTCCTGAAGCAAGATTCAGGTTCCCATGATTTTTTTCCTTCTAACATAAGAGTACTGGGACCCTGCAAAGCAAAAGACAAAAAGTAAACCCGATAACTACCGGGACAGCTACACTGGCTGACACAATTTGGTAGTGCTTGTATAGAAGAACCACTTTGCAACTAGTAAAGTAACAGTTGTGCAACAACCCAGAGCTAGACTTCGCTTCAACATGCACTCCAGTATCCATTATCCCAAAGACATCCACCTTTTGGTTTAAGTAATCCACACACGTTATAGTTCATAGTTGTCATGAGATCGCCTAAGGTAATAAACCACATGAAGTCAGGAGGTATACTTGTGAGACAAGTATTAACCAGTCGCATGGAAATGGAGATATATAAATATGCAGTTAAAGCTGAGAATAGAAAACAAATGCAGCCAACAGCATTCCAGGATTAAAACATCAAACCAGGACCAGAATAAGGGAAAAGAATGGTAGAGTCATTGATCATAACCTTAAGTCTCTTTCCCCTAAATTGAACTTTATCCTTCACATCCATCCTCTTGCTTTATTTGTCTTCAAAACCTGGCTACCTGAAATTTGATCTTCCACACCTTATTAAAATCAGAGGAATCCCTTACTCAGTGACCAGCTTCTTTGTTCCCATGTTTATCATTTGATACTCCAACTCAGTCATATGCGAACGTTCCTTCTCAGCAGACTTGGCAAACTGGTGTTGAAAGGCAGACGGCTGTTCGAGTAATAGGGCATTTCGAAGACCAATGATTACAGGAACACCTGGTATCTGCAGCCGGAAATAAATACCTTGTAAATGAATGTATATACTTCTCGAAACATTTGATTTTTTTTTTTTTTTTAAAGATTGAATAATTGGGATAGAGTCACGTGGCAAATTGAGTGAGGAACAGGATTACCTACATATTTGGGGTAGGACCTACAGATGGTGTAAAATAGCAGCCTTGATTTGGCATTCTTATAAGCACAATAAAATCGAATGGTCAAATGGTGGACTCTGTCATGTATGAACCCTGCAAGGAAAAACAGTTGTGAGGTGCACAAGTACCCAATCTCACCCCCACCAAGGTGCAAGTTGATCCTACCCCCACAGATACTGAATTGTTAATGATAAATTATGAAGCATCCTTACAAAACACTCCGAATCATCAAAGTCCAAAACGAGGACCAAATTCAAAACTTGTGAAGGTGCATGGCCCAAGGATGACAGAAGAAGGTGCTTTCATGCATCTCAAATAATACCAATAACATCTGTTTTCTGAGGGCCGGAAACTACCTCATAAAGCTAACCTAAACTACACACTGACACGTGAAAGAAAAAATAAAGAAAAAAGAAGCTCTAAAGCCTACTGATTGTATTCATCATTGAAAAGCTATTGGAAACAAGTTTGTCTGCAACTCATAAATGAAGCCAATCTGCAGTCTACAAAATAAATGTCTCTTATTTTCCATCTCAAGTTCTGTCACAGATAAGTCTATTCAGGTAAAGTGAACAAGCATCCCAATTTTTTCAAGTAATAGAAAGTATGCTCTCTTTTCCTACACATTTCTCAAAGTCTTGCTGACTTCTAAGTTCGTCCCAGTTTCTTTCGTCAAGTAGAGACTGAAGAAAGCTTCTATTTATAGGTGTTGGAGGCCCTTAACCCTTTCTTCAATCTTTAGGCACAAAGACTGTGCATTGGTCGTCCCCCCCCCCCCCCCCCCAATCACCCCTGAGATTTATGAGTTAATCTGAAGTCTACAGAATAAATGCCTCTTATTCTCCATCTCAAGTTCTGTCACTGGTCTTGCTCTTCAGTCTTGACCGAACCATGTTTCCGCAAAATCCCACAAATATTTAGAAACACCTCAAAAAGGCATACTGCCTTAAACATTAACAAACAAACCCCTTTTGGCATTGTTGATTTGGAGGGGAAAAAAATTGGTTCACATGCTATTGGAAAGTAAGGAACAGGGTGATCATTAGTATTAGGATTATGCTTCCTAGTTCACCCATGAAATTATAAAACATAAGGTAATTCCAAAGGACAGAAATCATCATTAAGGAATATTCCAATCATTCCCATTACATTTTCTCGATGATTAACAAACAACCATGAAACATATAATAGAAAAGACTATAATTTATCCTTTAAGCTTATGCTATTTCCTCACATAAATACACCATGAAATTCGATAAGAATTGGTACGGAAATTTTAACTTGAACATTACTAGAAAAATCATCCTTTCCTTTCAGAAAGAAAACTTCATATCTCACCGAAGTCAAATAACAGGACCAGTTGGCATATCAGAAACAACACACAGTAGCATTAATCAGCATCTATCAAAAGAAAATTGCACAAACCTCCTAGAATTTCTTCCTTAAATCGGCATCCAGAGTAGCAACAAAAAAATGCTCAGGATTGCTTTCTCCAATAACTGCTACTATGCTAGATATAGTACTCTTTGGCTTCTCATGGTCACATCTAAAAATGAGTTTCCATCAGAATTACAGGAATAATGTCAAAATACTACTGTATGGGTTGATTTGCTCAACTTGAGCAGTTTTTCAGTGTGTAGTACTATCAAAGTTATGAAAGTAAGCTAACATCATCATATTTTGTTTAGGTATTTTTTCCTTAAAATGAAGCCAGGCTGAGAAGAAGTAGGGAGAGAGGGATTTCTGACCTTGCAGTTATAAGGTTACAAGCTGCATTAAGATATTCAGAATAGGATTCGCCAAGGCTTCTCAACTCCACAAGAACTCATCTACAACACCCACCCACAATAAAAAATAAAAAATAAAAAGAAGAAAAAAGGTATGAAATTGTCAACAAAATTACAAGTAAATGAGATCATCCAACATTCTTAAATAATAAAAAAGGAACAATAGTAGCAGACCTGGTAGTAAAGATCTTGACTGTAGTACCTAGAGTTTTGGATAGGGCAGTATCGGCGGAAGTGATACACAAAAGTTCCATCACAGAGAACCTTAAAGGGCTCATGACAGCCAAACAAGCATTGTATAACCTCATTATTATGTGCAATAGTAGCAGCCCATGTTGCCATAATATATGCTTATGCTTTTTCAATCGCATCTGTTATACTGAGGAAACTGAAATGAAGTGAATGTAAGCAGATGAGGAATGATCAACATAAAATAAAGCAACCACTCATCTTTAGCCTTGTTTTACTGCATAAACATGCAGAATTTTTTTCACAAACACAGATAAATAAAACATTAAAAAATACAGATGATATTGCAATATAATCATAATGATGTTTAAATAGATTAAACAAGGATATAATAAAACACAGAATTTCCATCATGGGTTGCAAAAATTTATGATAAATATACAATTTGTGGAATACAATACTTGCATAAGCATATAATTGCAAAAGAAAGCATTGATAGTGTTAAGGGAGGAAGGAGAGGACTGGAACTGATTACTTCGAATAAAGATCATTCTTCAATATTAGAACTAAAACAGGCAGCAATAACTGCCATCATGCCCAATTTGACTACTTTATTTTTTAAATCACAATGCTCAATTGATTTTGTTTTCTCATAGTAACCAAAGTAATCAAAGAATGATCTTTATTTACAATTTTTCTCAATTTTACACAAGGAAAATCTTTACAATAAATTCGAGTGGAACCACTATCCATAAGTGGGTTCCATGGTGATCTACCAATAAGGGTCATCTATCATTGAGGAAATTGTAGAAAGTATACTGGAGGGATTTTAATCAAAAAAACATATAAAAACACAACATGAACACAAAACAGAAAAGGAAAGGCAGGTAAAAAAAAAAACACATAAAAAACCCTAATTTCGGTTATAGGAAGCCTAATTTATGAATTTCATAAACCCTAACAATTTTATCTGACTATCCCTTCCTTTTAGATGTAAAATAAAACTAAAAATTAAAAATTCTTAAATTTTAGAAGTTTGACAAACATTAAAAAAAAATATCTTCATCACATCTATCTATATCTATATATAGGTTAGGACTATATATATCTCTCTTATATATAGTAACATTAAAAATAAAAAATAGTAGCATTTAAATACAAAAAAAAATTATAATTTAATCACAAAAAAATAGTTACATTTAAACATAAAAAAATAGTAACATTTAATATTAATATTTTTAAAAAAATAACAATAGTAACATGTTCAACAAAAATCATAACATGTTCAACAAAAAATAGTAACATATTTAACAAAAAAAAGTAACATACTTAACAAAAATATTAACATGCTCAAAAAAAAAAAAACAATATGGAATATTGAACAAAATTGAATATAAAAATAGTAGCATTCAAACTCATAACTAGAGGAAAAAGCCTCAAAGATTTCAAAATTGTTATTGTTTTTTGCATTCCTAATTTTAAAATGTGATTCATTTTTACTAAATTAAATAATGTATGTTTCAATTTTTTGGATCTTTTGTTGTGCAATACAATCGAAAAATGCTTGATTATGTTACTTGTGGAAAAAAATTGATATTACTATGAAAGAAAAGGAAAATTATTTTTACATATTTGATGCTTGACATTCATAAGTGGCGATGAGTGTCATAGTTCAACTGACGATTATGTGTTACTATTTTAAATAATTTAATTTTTTGATTTATGGACGGTAGTTTGTGAAAGGTAAGGGAAAATTATTGTTACTGTGAAGGAAAAAATATTTCATTGATGTTACTGTGTAAAAAAATATCTCGTTAATGTTACTGTGTAACATATATCCTCCTGAGTTTTGTTAAAGTCGTTGTGTTATTATGCATAAAAATTTGATGTTACTATGAAAAAAATAGATGTTTCATTACAATTTGTAATTGTTATTGTGAAGGTTTGTATTTATTATTGAATGAGAGGATATTCTTCTAACGCGCGAGAGAGATAGAGAGAGTATAAATTTGAATTTCAAATTAGGAGTAAATTAAGGGATAATAATTTCTAATTTAAAAAATTAATTTAAAGATACTTTCAAAATCTTTAAGATTTCTACAATTGAACACAATAACACTGTTAAGTGCATTTTTTGGATTTAAAAAAATAGTGAACTTAAATACTTATTACTAAGATAAAAAATAAATTTATCACCAAATAAATTTATTTGACGGGTTCAAGTCATTATAAGTTCATAAGAATTCAGCCTCAATTTTCACAAATCTTTACTCACGAAACCATAAAGGTAACTTAGGGCCAGGCCCAAGCCCGTATGTGGCCAGGCAACAGGGGCTTTTATTAGTCAATGGGCCGAAATCGCCTCAGCCGGTCAAAGAATACCTAGGGCCATGGATGGGCTAACCAAGGGAGCAAGAGTGTGTTTCTCATCACTTAAAAAAAAAAAGTATTTTTGGGACTTTTAATTTATGAAAAATATTTTTTTTAAAAAGCAATGTTTGACTTAACTTATTAAAAACACTTTTTGATAAGTAAAAGTAATTTGAGCACTTAAATAAGTTAATAAAAAAAAGTAAAATAATTAACTTTTACTTTTAAAAATCACTTTTCATTTTAACTTCTCATTTTCTTCCCACTCCCCCAATACCTCTTTGCAAGTCCTCGATACCTCTTTGCCAAAATCCTTCATGTAGCCGCTTTCTCTCTCGACACCGACGCAAGCAATATATTCTCTCATTTCACTGACCAACGACACTACCTTCTCTCTCGCCAACTACCTACGACGTTGGGGCCAAGGAGCTAATGTTTTTTTGTTCTCTTCTATTTGCCTAACGAGCTATTTCAAACTGCAACGAGGTACAATATCTTCTTTGCTATGGGTCGATGTATTTTGGTTTGTATTTTTTTTTTTTATGATGATAAAATTTCTGGAGATCAAGGAGCTATCTATGGTATCAATTTTTGATGTATTTGGGGAAACTGTTTTTTATTTTTTTTAATCCATGATTACTATGAAAATCGCTATATTATTTTACTTTCATAATGTATTGCTCTTTCTCACATTTAATTTTTTAGCAAAATTGGATAGTTTGATAGAATGTCCACCAACTTTTTGATAAAATGACTATCAGTTGAACAAATGCACAGTACCTAGAAACATCCTGTTCGACCTGCTTTTCTCTAGAGTATTGATGTTTATTTATATAAACTTGAGTTTGTCAGTATGATCAGATCACTATACAGAGGACAGATCTAAATAATCCACTATACATGCTAATGTTTCTGATGGAGAAAATGCCAAATATTTAATTCGGGTTATGATTGGTGGGCTATTTTTAAGGTTGTTGTATTTCCACATTTTTTAATATACACATTGAATAGATTTGGTGCTAGTGAATTAGTCTGCCCATCCATGTTCTGAGAGTGTTTATTGGTTCTGTTTCAACACCTAAGCACTCATCTTGTGGAATATTTTATACATTGTACAACAAGAAGATAAGAACATTTTTGTCTGTAACATAGCTGAAGGAAATAGATTGGTGTAGCCTACTCAAAACAGTTGGGCATGCCCTTGTGTGGTTCTGTTTGGTTAACAAACATTATTCCATCGTTAGCTTATGAGTCTTACTAATAGCTTATTTTGTTTACTCTACCAATTGACTTGCATTAGCATTCAATTATCACCTTTATGTAATGGCATCTGTGGGTTCAGTTACTGTTGTAGTATATATCAATACATTTTTCCCATATAGTTGTTAATTCAAGAACATGAAACCTGTTCATAAGTTAGAGCTATGCTTTTAGATATCTGCTTTCGAGTTTGTTGGAATTTACTTTTTCAATGGGACACAGACATGTTTGTGAAGAATTTGTCGTTGATTAAGATCTAGAGGAACTCGAAAAATATTGGAATTTGCGGGTTTGGAATGGAATCTTCATATGGATATTTCTTGGATATGGATCTTTTCTAAATAGAAATCAACCCACTTTGCTCACACTTTTGTTTAGTCCTTTTCCATTGCTCAAGAATATATGTTGAGGTCCTCATTTTTCATTTTTGTAGCAGTCTTGGTATTTCTGATTAACATAACAGCGACAAAAATTTTTTATAGGTAAAGACTTTTACCGACGACATTACACCTTTGTTATATCAGCTAGTTTTCTAGAGCTTTAATGCATGTATTCTGGTGTTTTTTTGTACATTGTTTGAGGGTTTTGGTTGGAGTATATGAGGAACGGAGGGAACACTAGTTAAAGTGGACTTGTTTAGGTGTTTTTTTAGATAAAGTTTTAAATGTTTTGTTTGTTTTGAACACTACTCTTTATTATGACTATTTGGTTACTTGACCTTATTCGAACACTAAGTTTTACTGTGATGGTAATACTTGGATTTTTGTTTTGATGACTTTTTGAATTTTTATTATATTGATATATATGTTGGACTCTTGGATAAACATAGGCTATTAGAATTTATCTAAATGTCAATGCTTATATTTTTTTTTATTGCCTTGGATTTGTTGTGCAGAATGAATCTGAAAATGATATCCCTTACCATACTTGCCATATAACTTTTGAGAAAACAGGTTGCAATGTGCAAGAGTAAAACGCCATGTAGGACTTCTGTCCTAACCGGTCATCAATATGTGTTAGAGATTCTTAATGGCCATGATCGTGTATCCCTTGTACAATGTCGAATGGAAAAACATGTGTTTATTTCATTATGCGAGTTAATGAAAGAAAAGAACTTATTGTGTGATAGCAAATATGTGTGAAGTCAAGAGAAGCTAGCAATATTTTTAATCACTATTTATCACAATGAGCGAAATAAAATGATGCTAAGGGCAATTTTAACATTCTAGGGAGATAATAAGTCGACATTTCAATGATGTTTTATTAGGGATGGCCAAACTTTCAGTGGAAATCATCAAGCCTCGTGATACAAATCCAATGTATAGGAAGAGAGAACGTATTGCTTCAGCAATTCTAAGGGACAATCAAACATGATTTTTGATTGTATTTACTATTAACATATGTTTTGCGGGATAGTTGGATTATGTAGTTTTTTCGTATAATACATTTATTAATATGATATTTTTGTGTAAGATATTTTTTTTTTATCATTATATGTGTAGTGTATATTTGTATATGTGCAT